ACGCCGAGCGACATAATAAAGTCAGACGGTGGATTCGGGTGCTGTCTTACAATTACTGGTTCAAATACCAAACAGCTTGCATGTATGTAATTAGCATTATCACACACACATCCAATACGACTGGTTGGGTATCCTTAAATATTTAAGAGCGAACGCATTTCATTCGGAAAATCTGATTGGATCTTTGGGATCATCGGTACGTCGACAAAACGTTAACTGCTGAAGTTTTAATACCATTCAGGGGAAAGTACTGATAACCATTTGGTTTGTTCTTAAATATCTTTCCACCTCGAATAAGTCAGCATTTTCTGCTGAGAAAGTCTCAAAGCCTGTGTGCGGGAATAGAATGTATACGCTCTGGAAAAGTCTTCGCCATAAACAGCAGGGAACAGTACAGATAAATGTACATTTTGTCTCTTAGGCTTTAGTTTCAGCTCCATATAGCCGCTTTTGCTCGATTCCTAAAACCAGCAAGACTTGCCTGCAGAGAAAGAGTAAAGGAGTTCTAAACTAGCCTTTACTGAAGTCCAGACGGCACTTACTTGAACAAAAGGTGCTTCTGGACATATCGATAAAGAGAGGGGATAAAGCAAAAGGCGCGCAAACAGCCAGTGAAGGAGCACAGTCACCTTCTTGCCGATCAAGAGACATTTGATGTAAAACTACAAACTTCTCTCTCTACTCCTTCCCTTATCTGGCAACTCTAGAGCTCGAGCTAAAATATATCCTCGTGTCGGTGGGAGGACTCCGATTCATTTCTATCAGAACTTGTTCCGAGGTTGGTTTCATTTTCTCGAAAATAAATAAGTAAATGAACGTAAGCCTCTTCGTTTCTGTGTTTTTGTCGGAGGAAATATCCGCGAGATGGTGTTAAAAGGAACGTCTGGCTTCTTTCTCCCTCTCCTATTTCCACTGCATGCAATTTCCTTATTATCAGAAAAAGTGGAAGGGACACAGACTGCTCATGGCGCTGCATCGGCTCGTTTCATTAGCAGGCGCAGCACGGCCGCCGAGCCCGTCCGGGCCGAGCCGCGTGTGCTCGCGCGCACGCGCACTGCGACGCCCAGGAACAATGGCAGGCGCATCTGCTTGAGGTGCCTGGTCGGCCTGTCCACGCTTTCATCACGCCTTCTCCTTATTCTTAAGTCTTATTCTTCACGCCAGGAAGACTGCAGCAGAAAAGCTGTTAAAGTCAAGTCCGTATTCGATTAATTTAGAAAGACATTCGGATCTTTATAGCTTTAGAAGCGGTGACTGGAGACCCCACTCATTTCTTTTAGTGGCTGAAACGGCCTCATGCGCCTTGGAAATCTTATTGATACCACACTAGGAATTATTGCTTGAGAAGCATGTTTTGGAGGGTGAGCTGCCGCCTTGGCTCTTGGCATCTCAGGGTGCCTCGAATTTTTGTATGGATTTTGCCCAGGTGCTGTGATTCATAAAACACTCACAGTTGGCTATATTCATTGTCCGCTTAGATTCCTGTCAGTGAGCATTTAGGTTTGACTAGCCTCAAGCCCTGGGACCCTGGCAACAGGTGCACCGCAAGGACGCTCAATGCTGTTTTCTCTTCCCATCCATAGAAGCCAAGGAGTCCCACAACAGTGACAAAAATAGAAAAATTAGAGCCTAGTGAAGAAGAGGAAGAGGGAAGTTTTGTCTAGATCATCAGAAAGAACTGTATGACTTAGCTTCACCCCTAAGAGCAGGGTAGCCCCTGTTTGCCATCTATTTACAGTGCCTGGGGGATGGTTGGCCCTCCATTCTCCAGAGGAGCAAAGTATGCCTTGGGAAGGAGACACAGTGATGGGCTCGCCTGTAGTGTGGGTCTACATTCTGGGAACCAGACCAGAACTAGCAAAAGTTTCCCTTCCCCCTAACTCAAGAACCAATAGCAATGTGGCACATTCTTCTTCTTAATGTGTTAATACCACCACATGAATGCCCTTCGGCCATGTTCCATCAGTCAGCTTGATTAAACTTGTGGATGCCACATGCCACACACATGCTCTGGCTACATGTGGAAGCTCACACACTGCCATCAACATTAATTAATCTGAAATAATTACCTGGTAGGCATACTCACATAGATGATGTGGGAATTCTAATCCGCAATCATGCAGTGGAAGGGCAAAAATAAAAATTCACATCCTAATTGTGAGTTCAGCTGGAAGGTTAAAATGGGTTAAGGGTAATTAAATTGAGTACTGTGAAGGGCAAGGGAGGAATTGTGTTGACATGGTTTGTGAACAGGGAAGGAACCAGGGAAGGTTGTTATCCCGGAATCCTAATTAAGAGGTAGATCCTGAGTAAACTCTCCTCATTCCCAGTAAAGGAGTGGAATAACTTTCTGCTACCTTTCTGCTAGAATAAATCCTTTGCCTTTCTCAAAGTTGTGGGCCATTGTGTTCATTAGTAGTTCCTGCCATTAAGCCTTTGTCTGTTAGAGAATACTTCTGGATTTAGGTTTTTATTGTCTTTCTACACAGAATATTAAGGTGTGTGTTTTTCAGATAATGTCATCTTCAGTTTGTAGACCTCTTTGCACTGTTCTTCCATTTAGTTATTCAATATAATCTGTTAAGGAAGAAAAGCCAAAATAACTGCACAATGCCTTTTTTGTCTGGAGGCAACTGGAGAAATATCCTACACTTACTTTCCAAAATTTATGGACAAATGAAAGGCCTACTGCTTCTACATAGATGAACTAGGTGCCACATTTTTCTAGTTTATTCCCCAAGGATGTTTGCCTAAACTGCCACCAAGTTGTTATTCTCTTCATTCCCCACGAAGTGCACAATATGACATCTAGATGTCTCTATCTTATGTCATTTTCTCCAAATATAAAATCAAGAAGACTTGTATCCAATGTTAATCTAACTTAAGTCCCATTCATTTAAGTAGGTTTTTTCTAAGTAGGACAAACCAAAAAGTTTAATTACGCAGAAGCAAAATTATGAGCATGCATTATACTAACAATCTTGTGCCAGTGGTTGGAAAAGTATAAAGTTGCATGAAAGCTGTAGGCAGTTCAATATAACAGCAAGGAGGTGAGGTGTTCAGAGAAAAGAGGTACCCAGGGGAGACTTACAAGACTTTGAGGTTTTTCTTGTGTCTCATCTGAACCCAATTAACATTGGAATGATATACATATTTACTCAGAAGTAAGTTTTATTGAGTGGTGCTTACTACCAGGTAAATGGGCAAGGGATTGCAGCATAAGAGAAATTTAGGCCAGAATGGATGAGTTTTTTGGAGCACTAACAATTAACCACTCATGCAGCTCTTTCCTTCCATGTGACAAAAATATCCATGGTAGAGAAATGGGTAGGACTGTGGCATGGACAGGAAGAAAACATGCATAAGCCATTATAAATACCATGAATTATGGTTATTACACCCAGCTCACACTTTGAACCAAGGTACATACAGTCTTAGAACATTCTTTAAGTGGGAGGATCTGGGTCAGGAAAATCAGATGAAATCTATATGATGTTTTGCAAGATTAGAGCCCACTTTCTGATGCTGAATGCCACAGACAGCCAAGTATGTGCAAAGCACCTCCTTTCAAGACTTGAGTGGCTGCAGCTGTCATTTTAGGGGCTAGGATTTCTAAGGTCAAACTGCATTACTAGGTGTTACTAGGCGTCAGGCTGAGACCCATCTTAGAACTGAAGTAGTCTCTTAGGGGTTGGCTTCCAGAAGGGAGAGAAATTTTTGACCTCCCTTTAAAGTGAAGTTCTCTGGGAGTTTCTTTATATAAACAACACAGTGTGTGTCTGTCACAATTTTGAATGACAAGAGAAAGGGATAAAGTGAGCACTAAGACATTTGTGTGCGTAGAGGGAAATGCTACACTTTTACACAGATAAAAAGGTCCTACAACTCCCAACATGTATCATACAGGCTTGGAGATAGAAGGGAATTGTAGGACTGTATGTATGTTACAGTATTGTACCTTGCTGTTCTGTCGAAGTTTGAGGGATTTGCTTATATACATAGGTGGTGGCTAGTTGCCTTATTTATAACCTTTAGACCCGCTTTGTTTACAAGAGCTGAGCAGGGCCCTGAAAGACAGGATATTTTGGAGGGTATTCTTTCATAGGATTGCCATAGGCTGGAGAGGACCTGGTGGCACACCACCACCACGCTTCATACTGCAAAGTCGCCAGTTTTGTTCATTCCATACTGCCTCGGTGATAATTAGACAACGTTTGAGGTTTTGATAGGCTATGTTTATTCAGATTGTGACACCTGAGTAAGAGTCGGGTTTGCTGGGAGCGGGAGGGGCGTCTCAAGGCCGCGGCGACCTGCCAAGACCCAGCCCGTTCTCGCGCGGCAAGTACTTCCTGAGGCGATCCGCTGGGGAGAGAGACTTCCTGAGAAACAAACGGGGATGTGGTGTTGCCGCTGAAAGCCTTACTTCGAGGCCAAAAAGGCAGGAAGTCCCAGAGATTATTTTTTAAAAATATATATCTCTGCCACAAACTTGACGAATAAATTGTTTTCTCCTGAAAGCGGAACGTTATACAAGGGCAAAGGACCGACGTTGTGGATTTGTGAAGGCGGGTTAGGGATGAAACCGGTAACACAACCACAGCAGCTGTTAGTGACGTTCGTGCTCTGTAAGGCACCGGCTTGCTTGATAGCCTTGAAGGCGAGCTTGGGGAGAGGGCCTCTGCGGCAATTTCAGGGAGGCTTATGCGACTGGTGTGGGATTTCCCCCTAAAATGGCAATTGAACCCCGAGAAACATGTGGAGTAGCAGGGCTCTGTCGCACCGTGGCGAGCCTCAACAAGGCCTGACCCGAAACCCTAATGCTATGTGCTTTCATGAGGGGAAGACCACCTAACTCGCCAAAGCGGGGAAGCAAAGTGCACAGGCAGGGCAGAGAGGCCCCAAGTCCCCTCGCCAGCAAATTCTCGGCAGCGCGGAAAAAGAGGCCCACTGCTTCAAGAGATTGCCCGCGCGTTAACTGAACCTTCTTGGTTTCTTTTCAGGTTTGGGAGATGCTTGGGGGCAGCCGAGCAGATTAGGCCCCTTGGATAATGTCGCGAAGGAGCTGGGCTCGCATTTGCTTCAGGTAGAATCTCTGCAATTCATGATGGTTCCGTGCTTTTCGTTTTCAGGAGAAGGTAGCAGTGTTGATACTAATCCACCGAATCCCCTCCTGCCTCTCTGCTGCCTTGGTCTCATGATCTTTGCTCCTGGAAGAAACCACAATTTTTTCCAAAGGTGGAAAAGAAAGGGATGTGGGTCAGTCCAGAAGTAATCATAGTTAAAATAATGAGACCTGATTTACTCATGAGTAAAGTTGAAGCCAGTGGCTCTCCTCTAAGTATAATTTAGCTTGAAACCAGTTCAGAGTAAGCTTGTCTTTGCTGGTGTTAAATACACATAATGCTTAATTACTTAGCTGACAGTACCATCATAATTAAATTGGAATAGTTGTATAAAATAAATGGATAGATGATGCTCCCTCCCTCTGCTGTGAGCCCATTTTAAGGACAAAGTGGGTTTTTTTCTATCTGAATTTATGACTGGGAGTACAGAATTGGGGGAGCCATGAATGGGTTAAAGCACAGTAAATGAGTGTAGTGATCTTGCATATGCAGCACAACTATAAATTGTGTAGTATGAATAGGCAAGAAAACTTAACAGCTTGCAACTGTAAATGAAAGTGCACATGCATACTCACCCATGTGCATGCATGTGCACATGTAGGCAATAAAGATTTGCTGCAATGCCTCTGGTTCACAGCAATAGGTCTAGGTTTGTATCTGTACACACACACATTTTAAATAGGAGATTTCAATTCTCCAGATTGCTCAGTTGGGAAAACCGTTAAGAACGAATGACTCCTGTTGAGGAGTAGAACATCTGGATCAGATCTCACATTGACTTTAGCACCTGAAAATACAGTTGTTCAAAAACTGGTTGATTTGTTTTGGAATTCAGTTGCTCTCCATTTTATGGGTCTCAGTGCAGCAAAATATTTAGATAAACATGTGTCCTAGTTTCACAAAAGCTTTTTCCTAGCAAGCTTCCCCTTTCCCCTCTCCTAATTTTAAAGAAGTACTCATTGCATAATTTTAATTGCATACTCTGTTGTTTTAAAGGTTTGCCAGGTTAGAAACAAATCTGAAAGAGAAATGAAACCTTGAGTAAATTAAATTGGATAATAATATAATAAATAAACTGCTTTCCAGAATTCCAGTAATCCATCTCAAATTCACATTTGTCACCTTGTGGCACAGAGAGGTACTTGCAATATCTGGTAAGGTTACGAATTGTTTTTCTTGAGTGTTGGGTCTTAAGCTTTTCAACCACATTCAACTGTATGTCACTGTTGGCAGACATATTTGCAGGGCCTTCTAAAACATTTATGACTGATACAAACAACAATGTATAAGAGTTGTTTCCATTTCTTCACTATTTTCATCTTATTTGTAATGGAATATGAATTATTGTAATACATTGAATACTATGGTGTACATTGGGGCATGTAATGATTTAAATGATTTTTTGTTTTGCTGAAATAGATTCCATTTTGAAGGCAACAAGTGAAACCTGCAAATTAATTTATGTTCTCAAAGCCTACTTTTTTCTTCTGTCACAACATTTTTACATGAAAACTTCATAAACTTCCTAAAAAATAGTCTGTGTTTTAAAGTAGGGGTTTGAAATACCATGTTTATTTACAAAAATGAATATATATTTAGGCAAGCTTTGGTAAGTGTCTTCTTGCAAAATATATTTTGGTACAAACTGAAAAGCTTAGTGATATATTTTAATTTAACTTAGTTATATATAATGTTTATATCTTACCTTTCCTATTCCTGAGATGTTTTACAACAGTCAATAAGATAACAATTTTACAAGACTATTTTATTTAGTTTATCACTCTAATATTTTGCATAATGCAAACCCCAAAGTTTAATATCTCACTTATTTTTTAAATTAAAAATGTGATTTTAAGACCCACAATTAATTTGCTTAAACTGGGCATACTTTCAGCACTTAACAAAAAAACAACCCCCCCCAGCAACCCTACACCCCAGAGTGATTTGCCTTTAAAGAGCCACTAAAAGTAAGGTTTTCTAATGGAAGTGCTGATGCAGCCTAACTATAACAGTGGGGAACAAATTGCTAGTTTATGAGGAATGTTTTAAAGAGATGTTTTATTTAAGAAAGCAATGATTTCTTCCCCATGTCAATACTACTACAAAGTTTTGTTTATGTTCTGAAGAGTGGATGGGGTGGGGTAAGGAAACCAAAGAGTAATCTGGTTCCAATTATGTGCTGTAAAAGTTGGGTAGGTAGGCTAGAGAATAATTTGGAATATTTTTTATTGGGGTAACATTGCACTTGTCCCTCTGTTACAGCCTTTTATTACTTTCCTCCAGTTACAGCATCTTAAAATATGAATTAGTAAATATAAAAGGCAATTGTTTTATCTAGGTACTCAGAACTTTTCCTTTTTAAATATAGACATCTTCCCTTCACATAGATAATTAGGATCCTATTTGGTCTAATCACATTCACAAAGATGGGTTCTAATGAAATGAATATATTAAGCTGCTTTATATTGAGTCATATTGTAAATCTGTTGCCTCCTCTGATGAGCAGTAGCTTCTAAGGTCTTAAGCAAAAAATTTTTCCCCTCCTTGTTATATGAGGCACTTTAACTGGAGACTGAACTAGGGACAGGAAGAGCTCTGCCACTAAGCAGTGCTTGCTTCAAACTGTTGGTCTATTCTGACTCACAGTGGCTCCCCCCCCCCCCCGGTTATCATAAAGCTCTTCATCTGCCTTGCTACCTGCCCAGTAATGGGAAATGTATAGTCCTTCAGACAGTGTTGGATTGCAGCTTCCATTGGCTATGCTGGCTAGGACTAATGGGAATTGTGGTCTACCAGAATCTGGAAGGTCACACATTCCCCACCTCTGCTTTAACTGAAGATGCCAGGGATTGAACCTAGGATCTACTGTAGGCAAAGGAAATGCTTCACCACTAGGTAGAATGCTTCTCTGATTAGTCAAGGTTGCTTCCAAGTGCATGTTTTTAGGATAAAGATGTAATACATTCACTATTGAAAATAATGTGGCTCATCCTCATAATCAAAACTATGTTTAGAAGCAGAGTTAATTTATTTAAGTGGGACCTATTTAAATGTTCTCAAGATTGATGATTTTAAATTGAGACGGTAAAACAATAATTAAGTAATAGGTCAGCATAGTGCATTGCAGTGATACATGTGAAGGTAATTTTAATCTTTATTTTAATTAACATTTTATTCAATTTCCACCCTTACAAGTTTCAAAAGTTACTCAGTTAATCCTCTGCTGACAAAAACCTTAATTAAGACATCAGGAGAATTTAAAACAAGACTCAAAACTATAAGAAATATGTAAATAGTGATAACATATTACTGTCAATCAGCTGGGATTGGTTTTCCCCTAAGAATTACATAACCCAGAATTTGTGCTGTGTATTCAAGTAGTCCATATCAACATGAGATAGTTTTACAGCAACAGCACTTAACAAACATATGTAGGAAGAGAATGAGCTAGAATTAACTTTTTATAGTGTTTGTATAATAATCTTCATCAGGGCAACATGGGTAATATATTTTTAATATATGTTCTTCTGTAGGGGGAAATTAAAAACTTCTCACAAGGAACTTGACTAATAAAGTGTAAGTGGTAAGATTTTACTCTATTTCTTTCTCTCTTACAGACTCTGGATGGGTTTGTTTTTGTGGTAGCATCTGATGGCAAAATAATGTATATCTCAGAAACAGCTTCTGTACATCTAGGTTTATCCCAGGTAGGCACAAGTTTCTGTCCCTCTGTTAAATGCTGGTGTTGGAGTGGCATATGGTGATAATATCTTGTGAGTGACATAAAGTTCTCTGTCTGAGCTGTTTTTAGGTCTTGTTTTTTTTTTTTTTTAAGGGTTCAGTATTTTACAGTTTGTCATTATATGGAAACTGCCTTACATTTTTCCTGTGATATTTATATATATATATTAGCAAGTAAAGGAATAGCCTATAGAAGTCATATGTATGCTCTATGCTTTTCTGCGTAGTAAATTCCAGGTATACCTGGAAGGTGGATAAAATGTGACTTACCCTTTATAGCAAGTGCTAGTTCCTGGGTGTATGATTTTGCAACTGACCATAGTAGTAATGGCTTACATTTCTGAAAAAGTGGAGATTTCCAGGCTGTGCTTTGGATAGTGTGTAGTTGTGTTAGCTGCTGTGAAAATAGAGGAAACCTGAGTTTTATAGTAAATGTGCTTTAGGAAAAAAATAAAAAGGGGGCAGATTTATGAGTGTTCACATAGAATTCAGGGTAATTTTTCTTGAGTTTTGCCAGCCTCGTGGCTGTTTCAGTAAAGCATTTTATATGTTTATGGTAGAACTCATAAAACTGGGTTTACTACTGTTCTGCTCAAGATTAGTGTTTTGGGTTTTAGGGCACTAGTACATTTCTTTGAAAGGTAATGCTAGCTGTGATCCTAAGCATGATTTCTTGGATGTGCATTCAGTTAAAAGCTGAACTTACTTTCAAGTATATGTATTTTGAATGTTGATATTTAGGGGGCAAATAGAACTGAGATATGATCTAGCATTTTGAAATATGAACTATATGCATAACTCATAATAAATGGTGATGATTACAGCTTTGAAAATGTAATTGGTTTTGGATGTTCCTGTTGTCTTTTGGAACCAGCAGACATCATTGTGTTTATCATTCAATAAAAAAAAGTTGTTTAAATTTTAATATGTAAAAAAATGAATGCTTTTGAAGAATGCTCCCATATAGACTTTAAAGTATAAAATGGGTAACTGTTGGTCTACTACTTCCATTTTGTAGGATTCCTGTCATTTATTTTTTTATAACACCTAGCAGCTGAAGTGCTCTGGGCAGTTCACAACAGCAGCAGCAAGTATTTCACAGACCTAAGTTGATATTTACTCTTTGCTTTGACTTTTATTACTTAGGGTTGCAGACTATTTTAAAAAGCAACAGTGAAAAGCTATTTGCTAAATAGCAGGTGGGTGCATGCTGATTGAGGTAGGTGGGGTCTGTGCAGCACCATTTCAATGACTTTTAACAGGAGAAGGGGGAAACAGCAGCAGTACCTGCTATATTTTCTGCAGAAATTGTCACTTCTTGCTTTCAAGATAGTTTCCTGTTCTGAAATAGGAGAAGAGAATGTATATCACAGGTTAGAAAAGGTGACATCAAATCCAAGAAGACACAAGAATGGTTAATAAGCATTGTCCAGGAAGGTATTAGAGATAAAAAGACATCCTTCAGAAAATGAAAAGCTTTGCCTAACAAAAGGGGACACAAAATTTCATAAGAGATACAAAAAAGCATTTTACAAATTGTATTATTAACAACATTAGAATATTCTGTATTGCTGGTCTTTAATATCAGAAGCAGGAAACTAATTAGGGAGGTAGTTGAGCGATTGGACTATCATGCAGTTGAAGGAGTACTAAAGAAAGATAAGAAAATTCTGAATAAGCTGAGTGGATTATTTTCATCTGCCTTCACTGCAGGACAGATACCTGTGCCTGAAGTGATGTTTTCAGGAGGGGAGTCTGAGGAACTCATGCAAATAGGGATGACAATAGATGTTTTTGATCCTATTGACAAATCACTGGACCTAAAAGGTATCCATCCTAGAGTTCTAAAAGTACTCAAATAGGAAATCTAACAAAATATGTGACATGTACCTAACATCTGCCTGTGAACCACATGATTGGAAAATTACTAATGTAACATCAATTTTTAAAAAGGGATCCAGGGGGAATTTGGGAAATTATTGGCCAGTTAGTCTAACATCTGTTCTGCATAAATTAATTAACAGCATTATTAAAGATAAAAATTAAGCATACAGAAGAGCAAATTCTGCTGGGGGGGGAGCCCTGTCTCACTCTCAAAGGCTCCTTAGAGTTTTTTTGAGAGTGTCAGTAAACATATGGAGAGGAGATAATTCAGTAGACATTGCTTCAAAAGGCTTTTGACAAAATCCCCTACCAAAGACTCCTGAACAAATTTAGAAATCATTACTAACTGGTTAAAGAACAGAAAGCAGAGACTAGGAATAAATGGAAAATTCTCCCATTGGAGGGATATAAATAATGGCATCCCAGAGTGATATGTATTGGGAACAAAGCTTTTCAGGATATTCACAAATGATCTGGAAATAGGAGTGAATGGTAGCTGAGTTTGCTGGGGACACCAATCTATATAGGGCAGTTAAAACAAAAAGGGATTGTGAGGAACTCTAAAAGGAGCTGTCCTGGGAGAATGGTGTATCAACATGGTTCTGTATAAGAAAACCTGGAATAATGCACGTTGAGGCAAAAAATAGAATTTTGCATAGATGTTGAAGGGATCTTAGCTGCCTGTGACTGATCAAGACAGAGATCTTTGGGTTGTGGTGGACAGCTTGATGAAATTATGAGCCAGTGTGCAACTACTATAAAAGAGGCAAACTCCATGTTAGGCATAATTAGGAAACCTGGAAATCTGTCATTATCATACTGCCCTAATACAAATTGATGGTGCATCTACAGTTAAGATACACTGTATAGTTATAGTCAAGTTTTCACCCATAAAAAGCAGCACTGCTATGGTTGGTACCATCAACTCTGAAAGGGCAAAACTGAAGGGAGTTGCCTCTTAGGGTAGCTACATTAACATCCTTTCCTATCGGTTGGGAATGAGAATGTTGCTAGTTTTCTGTGTCAGAGACAGGCTTATGACCCTGACCTGGAGTAATAGCATAGGTGGCAGAAGTTGTGGTGTGTGTGTTCTCCCTTAAATGGGAGTCTGAGGAAGAAAAGGATAAGAATGTAGATCAGTATTTTCCACCCAACTGGGAGTATCACCTATGTTGGTCTTATTTATTTAATTGCCCAATCTGTCCAATTGGTCAGTTGATTTACATCTATTGGCTGGCAGAGTTATATCTGCTTGACCTGTGGCACTTAGCATTTCTCTCCTTCTTTTTCTTTCATTAGTTTCTCTTATGCCATTGCTATTTTTCTTGCTGTTTGCTGGGCAAAAAAGTGGTTAGAGCCAGCATTTGTCAGGGTGGGGAAAAAAGGTGATCTGAAGAGAGGTAGAGAAACTCTGTAACAGGTTTCATGGGTAAGGGACCATGTTGTATGATGGGAAGAAATTTCATTAGAATGGTGTACCCCTGATGATTACAAGTTATTTCCCTCTCTGACCCATTCTCCATTCTTCAGGATCTCAATGGTCTGGCTGTTACACCATCTGACTGCTTGTAGTGCTATTGAATGTCAGGTTGCAAGTATTTTATTTGTAACAAGACTAGACTCATCCATGATATGTTTGTGGACTTGGCATGCATCATGGAGACATGGGTGAATGAACTGAGTGGTATAGACATCATCAGGTTTTGTTTACATGGTCACTCAATTTAACGGTAACAGGGTAGGGAATTGCCATGACATACAGTCTTGTTCATTAGTAAACTCCTTCCCCCTGAGACAGACTGTGAGGGTCTGTACCTTGGGTTGGCCTGTTTGACAAAGCTAGCTGATGTTGTCTCAGATATGATGTTGAGGATCTCTTTTCCTGGGAGACTTCAATACCTATGCTAAGGCTGCCTTGACAGGACCACCTTGGCCCCTCTGTCCACCATGACATCCATGGGATTGTATCAGTTTGTCACCAGCTCAGCACATAGGACAGGGCATACTCTTGATGAGGTATTTATCCCTGGACATAAAGGAAGAGGTCTGGATATTGGATGTACCTGAAAATCAGCTGGTTTTCATGGTCTGACCACTTTCTGATGAAATTTGGTGTTACGGTGTCCGTTCCTCCTTTTGGTTGGGAAACCTATTAAGATGGCTCACCTCCATTTATGGAATCTGAAAGATTCCTGAATGCAGTGGGATTTTTCAGTAGCTAGAACTGACAGTTCTTTTGAGGCCCTTGTTACACTATGGAATGACAAGTTGTAGCAGTTCTGACTGTCCTTGACACTGTGGAATATGGAGGGCTTACAGGGGAACCTTGGAAAATAAAAAAGGTCAGAAGACGACTGGAGTGTAAGTGTTATAAAACTCAACATGAAAGTGATATAGTGCATGGAAGAGCTTATCCGGACAACCAAGTCATGGCAGAATCAATAAAGAAGGCTTACTTTATTATAAGGCCTCCTCCATCACATCTTTAACTAGCTGTCTGGCTGAGCTTTTCAGCATGATTTCAGTGTTGATTTCTTCTAATCTAGTGAACTCCAAACTTAAAACCCTAGAAAGTCAACTGTGATGAGAATGCAAGATACTTTGAGGATAAAATCAGTCACCTTTATGCTGATTTGAACACTGCTATTGATACAGACTGCTGAGGTATCCAGTGCATTGTGTTACCCTGCTTTGTAGGGTGAATTTTAGGTTTTGGAGCCTGAGGATATGCACATGACACTTGCATCTTACCACATGTTTTCTCAACTGCTGTCACAGCTTATTCAAGCTAGCTGTGAGAGGACTGGCAGATGGATTAAGAGTGGTGAGAGCATATCATTGTGTGGTGGTGTGAACCCTACTGCCTTGAGGGAGGCAGTAGTATATAATCACTCATTTAAAAAAACCCTCCCTGGAGCCAGAAATATATGCTGACTATCATCCTGTCACAGACACCCTCTTCTTGAGTAAGGTGTTTGAGAAGTCTCAGCTGCTGGCGCTCTTGAATGAAACTAATTATCTGGATCCATTCCAATCTGCATTCAGGGCTGGTTCTGAGATGGAATTGGCCTTGGTCACTTTA